AAATGCAAGACGTGACAGGGATTATGACAGATGTCCAAAATGTTTCACTAGCTGGAAAACAAAACCCATTTTTGTTCAGACTGTTAAAAAAGTAACACCTGCAGAGCCCAATCGTAACAAAAACGAGCTGGATATTCACCAGCAAGGTAACAACTCCTGTCTGAAATCTCAAGCCAGACTTCTAACAAAATAAGTCACACACAATTTGACATTCTTGGTATTTCCAAGGTAAAAAGTGTCAAGGAAAACCACTTCTATCTCAAGGAAGAGAATGATTTCAAGCGTGCTTTTAAATACATAAAAACCCAAGCGGTTCTGCTTTACAGATCACCAATGAAAAACCCATGCAAATTAGTTGCTTTTTTGTAAACAGTTTGAAACAAAGACAAAACCCACAATTCTCCCTTTCCAAAACTGTGCACATAAAAATGGAACAAAACCACTGTGTGAATATATCCTTCCTTGTGCTAGGATATGGCAGAGTATGAACCTATGAACTGCAGTTTACTTGAGAGTCCAGGTGCTGGCGTAGCGATTCCGTTGTGAGGAGACGCTGCATCTTCAGTGTAGCTGACAGAGAATCTCCTACAAGTAGAACCCCCGTGGGACTGCAACAACACTAACACAGAAAATAAATAGGAAAAAGTAATGCTATTTATTAGAAGAATTCCATCTCTGAATTATTCTGTTTAAATTATAATGCAAGATAAACACGTTTGGATAGAAATGTGCTTGCTCTCCCAATATTTGGACTTTTAAAAAACACTTCCTAAGAATCAATTTTAAAAAGCATTTTATAATTTGATATAGCCATAAATTAATACTGTATGGAGATGATTAATATCCTATGCTAGTGGTCAGTGACCTTTTGTAAACACTAGCCAGATGCTAGCAAAACTGGCTAGAAAACTACTGTCACAGGCCTTTTGAACAAGCATCATCATTTTTTCCCCAACAATCAGATTCTTAATTGTTTTCACAAAACCTTTTCCTATTTTTTTTTGATACACTTTATTTTAAACCTAATACCTGAAAACAGAAACAAGTCTTCAAACCTCTTCCACTAACACTAAATCCACAAGGCAATTCACTTCAGTTGGCCATAACTACATAAGCTCTTGTGTGAGAGACCCATTCAGACAGGATCTCCCCTTCTATCCGCCCCCCTCCCCAAACAATCCATGCACTCCCCCGTGGAGGAGAAGGTGAAGTGAGGGACAGTAGGAAGTGGCACAGTGGACTGGCATTCCCCTCTACGTGCGATTCAGCGTCTGGAAGATTCGAGAGATCTGTAGCATGACCGGCCCAGTTTCTGGATCGTTCATCCACTGAGTGCTGTTCAAGGGGTTTTCAAGCATATCCTCGAAGGCTGCCAAGAGATGGAAATTGCAACACTCAGTCCTTTAGTCAGCAAAGGCTTCCATGTTTGGGACACTTCAACAAGAGGACAGTTAGAAACAGCTGTAACTCAAAGGCAGTGTGTAAGCATCACCCAAAAGTGGTGGGAACACGCATCGTACATTTACCATTCGCGCTCCTGAGTCTCCCCAGACTGGGGTGCTCCAGGCTGTTACGCTTTCCCCGTTCCTCAGCATTAAATTCACTGCAGACAGAGGCTGATTAAATACTCAGCCTGGATTACAGTCCATCTTACAGAACCTCAAGGACATGGGTTTGAGAGCTAAAGCCTTCTCAAGTGTCCACATGCAGTAGCAGGGAACATGGTACACAACTCATCCATTTATGAAAGTCCATCTTAGAACTGAGTCATTTGCTGCCAACACTCCTATGGGAAGACTCTTCTGCAACTCTGCTCTTCTGGTCAAAGATTTTCCACATCCCAACCTAGATTTCTTGCGCCAGCATCTTCCTCCTCCCTTGTACTTAACCAGGACAGTTCATAGAAAGCACTGCCACCCCCTTGCCTCTGTTACCTTTGCTTTCCTACACCGCACTTTGGTTGTCCTATGGCTGCTCTCTCATGACATCTCAGAAGAGAAAACTAAGCCAGCAAAAGAAGAAGCAGGTATGCCAATGGCTACCTAGGAATAAGCAGCAGAGCCAGCACAAGGGTGGCCCCTTGAGCCCCCAAATCTCAGAGCTCTCTCTTTTTCACAGAGGCTCCTGGAGCCAGAGGGGAAGCAGGATCTCCCCTGGGAGCAGCATGCGATTTCTTTCCTGGTGTTTGGAGAATAGAGGATGTCAGGGAGGCAGCCAGTTCCACCTGCCTAGACACAAGCAGAAGAGAAACGCTGTCTGTGCAGAACAATTACCTCCATTTCTGAATAGTGACAGCAATCCAAATATTTAAGTGTTTTTTTCTTTCTATACACAGCTGTCTTTACAATAAGCTTTGTTGTCTTGTTTGTTTGTTTAAATGGGCTAGTCTTCACTCTTCTACTAATGCTGAAGGAACCAGATAGCTACTGCAAGAGCTAAGCTGCAAATTTGGCAGAAGAATGGTCCAGACAATAATTTATAAGCCTTATGACAGACACTGAGCTGGACTACTGGACATTTGGAGCAGTCATTATAGAACAGGACAAAAAAAGCAGTTTCACATCTGACCTATTCAGAAGTCACTGAAATGTCAGTGTTGTAAGAGTCTGGCAGAGCAGCACCAAGATCAGGGTCTTAATTTTCCCAGGAGTGTCAGTGTACAAAGCTCCAACTGACATTAGTGGGAGCTGTAAGTGCCCAGCAGCTCTCTGAAAGGCTCATCGTTAACACCTTGCTCAAGGTCATGCAGCATGCCTACAGAAACACCCAGTGTAAAGTACAGACCTCGCCTTTCACCACTGTATTTTTTTTTTAAACAGACTGAAAAGCTTAAAACTAAAGATCTAGCAACATTCTGTAAGTATCGAATTAAATGCAAACATTCATTATTAAGGTCTGTGACATAAGCAATTTGCAGATGTATCATTAGGAATATATTCTCTGATGTTCATACAAGCTTTACAAGCACATATAACGGCATTTCGTTTTCTATTTATATTCTGAGCTGCAGTATGGAACCCTCATTGGAAACGAAGAGGCCATTTGTTCAGAAATCAGGGTGGGAAGGTTTTGCTCTTCAACTATTTCAAGGCTTGCAAAGTCTCCTAATTACATTCAAAGTAGTATTTTTAAAAGCTTTCTTGAAAGAGCTGCACATACACCCTTTATTTAAAAGCACTGTTTCAAATAAATTTTGAAGCCATAGAATAAATGCAAAACTTTTTATACACATCACAGAGCCAATGTCATTCTTCTGTATTGTCCTCCAGCTTCAGAGACCAATTCATCAGAGATTTCTGTTTCACTGTCAAGCTCAACAGTTGGGTACTTGCTTTGCTCACTGCCTTTCTGACCATGAGCACAGAGACTTTACCACAGAGTTGAAATCCAGGTAGGGGGAAGTGCATTTTCACATAAGTTATCTCAATTTTGATAGGCAAAGCTTTAGCTCAGACTCCTTGTTTGGAGGAAACCTTACTCTTCTGTGAGTTACCTTCCAACTCAATGATTAAGCCTCAGCACACAGTAAGCTGTACAGCAGGAGACAGCCTTGTTTTTTCTGTGAAATAATGAGAGTTCTAGACAGACATTCCTGATTTCTCCCCTCATGGCCAAAGGGAGCACATAAAAGATCTAAATCCACAAAAGCATTGTAGCCAGCAGCTATTAAAGTTCTGAGTTCAGCAAAAGTAATCCAGTAGCCTGGGGAATTAGTATCATTTCTGGGAGAGCCCCAAGTTCTGTTCTGGGTTTAGCTGAGTTGCAGTATGAAGCAAACAAACAATACAGCTGCTGAAAGTGAGCAAAAGGGTACAGAGCTGCACCCATCTCAAAAAAGGGTGCTGTCATCATCCAGTCCCTACTCTTATTTGATAGCAGCTACAGAAACTATAGGATACATAGTTTATACATATATATAAACATATATATAACAGATATAGATCAGGAACTCACCTAGTAGAGTTTTAGGGTTGGTTAGCCCTAGCTGTACCACAGGGTTTTCTAAGATGGCTTGGAAGAGAGGGCTATTGGTGTCAATGCCTTTATCCAAGTCCTCTGGAGAAGGCTTTCTGTCTCCCAGCAGCCATTCACACTGAAAGAAATCACCAGGCACAACAGCTTTCACGATTGGTTCCAATACAATTAAAGTGTCTCCAAAGTTCTGACAATGTGGCACATTAAAAATAATTTCATTTTCCAATTTCATTTCAGTTGCTCATTTCACCTCCAGTAACAGTTGGGCTTTATGATCAATAAAAACATCAGCCAATGCAATGCTGAAAGGAATCAGTTGAGCAGACTATTATAGTGATAAGGAACAGAAATGACATTGTACTCACGGCTGCATTTTGCTGGTTGTTGTTTACTCTGAGTGCATCTACCACTTCTTTTTCATCAAATCCCATCTCCATCAGGGCAATGACAGCCTGTGTCAGATTTGCAAAGCTTAATAAACATAACATTCAAAACAGAAATGAAAACAATGACATTCTTCCACTTCCTCTACAGGAGCTTTTTGTGGGGTGACAAACTCCATCGTTTCCATTTGTAGACTACTAAGTAATCTTATCAACAAAGTTTTCAAATACTCCATTATCAAAAGTGCCTTTATTATGGAAGAAGAATAAATCTTAAGAGCCAAGGTAGTTCCCATCCTCAGCACTGAAAGCTGAACGCAAGGCAAAGAGCAAGTGTACCTGGGGTAGAAAGGAGAAAAGCAGCACAGAAACACCTTATTTTAGAACCTTTCTCACGTCACAAAGCTTTTTGTTCACAACTCACTGACAGATCAAGCTCCACATGCATTTGTAGTTCTATTCACTTGATTTGACTTCCTGGATCATTCCATTGCTAGTGAGCATTATGTACGTAGACAAGCCATACCTAGATATTGTTATGAGAACGTTTCATCATCTAGAAATTGTCCCCAAGTCATCAAATACCTTTGCAGCTTTTGACTGAAATCACAAGGAACAGCTACTTGTAAAAGCAAAGTGCTGGATTCTAAAGAGCACCTCCTGGTGAGTTTACAGTGTGATAACAACACATATCTTCACTTCAGCTAATACTGTGTTCTGAAAAAAGGCTAACTTCTGCATTTACTGCAAGACTTAAATCTGCTGGTGTTACTTTTCCTTGCCCTATAAATACAATAATGCTCTTTTGTCCTTTTCTTCAGCAAAAGGACCTACTCCTGTCCTGCAACCCTTCCTTCCTAGGCAGCATTCACAGAAAGCAATGCCAGGAGTCTGGCAGCTCCTTTCAGTCCCATCGGTTAATTCTCAGGTGCAGAAGTAAGTGTGTCAGTAATTTAGATCCTGTTATCTGAGACAGTGACAGATTAATTAGGTAATGTCCCTTTCAGCAACCCGAATTTAAACAGTCCCTAAAGACTTCCACTAAAATACTGCCAAGCCAGCAGAATGTACATCGACCCAGATGTCCCATTTCATTTATTAACTAATTATTTATTTTGGTTCCACAGTGCCCACACAGTCCCCTCCAATCCCAACAGTTACATAAATAGTGAGACAAAGAGCACATACTCGTGGGTCTGGACGAAACTCTCTTTTCCTCCGGATCTTCTTGAATATTTCTGTCAGCTCATCCTTGGCCTCTTCCCCATCTGCTTCTGAACTCGGACCCGCAGTTGCTTCACCTGCTGCAGAGGATGCACCAGCTTCAGCTGTGGCTTCTGGTGGAGTCTGACCTGGAAGCGGAGCATCCACCGTAGGGTCATCTGCGTGTTCTATCAACCACTCCATGGCCTGTGTCACTGACATACTGAAAAGCAAATCAAAACACAAGGATGAGAAACATTCCAGATGTACATTCCACATACATTTGCCTTTGCATTTACTCCCATGGTATACTAACTTGCAGATTCATTAGTATCTGAAAATGAAAAGTCATAAATAAAGTTTTGGAGCAAATCTCAGAGCATCTTAATTCTCCGTGCATTCAGGGCACCACAATCTTCTCAGAAGCCCAGAAGACAGAAGAACGAAGTCCAACTTGGACAGCTGCAACCCAGATTTTAAAAGGCATTTCTGAGGTAGTCACCTTATTCTTCACATCATCTGCTTGTGAAAGGGGGCCAGCCTGGCAGCCCTTGTGAACTGCAGACCAGCTACTCTTTCCAGAGCAAGTACAGCACTGTTTCCTCTTCCCTGTGCTGTGCCATCTGCACAAGCACGCTGCCCGAGGTAGTGCTGTTCTTTGAGGTAATGCTTTTTCCATCCTAGTTTTAGGTGATCCACATAAGGAGACTTTAGGAAAAAAAAAATGCAACTTTTTCTTTTGTTAACCATATCAAGTAGTTTACAGGCAGTGTGCCGAGTACACTTACTGATTTAATCGAAGGGCTTTGACAGCTCTGCTTTCTGGAAACCCCATTTCTGTAAGCTGGCGCAGAGCTATCTCATCCACTCTGTCTTCCTCATCCTCATCCAGCATGGCTACACATACACAAACAAAACAATGTTCAGATTGACTTCAAACTAAAACAAACCCCTTTCTCAATGGAATGGCATGTGTCAAGTTCAACCCCCATTCTTCTCTCCAGCCCTGCTTTTGTTTCTGCTCAGAATTTGCTATCTCATCATTCACTTTGCTGCACTCAGCTTAACCGGGCTCAGATAGATTCTTCCTGGACAAAGACTTTGTCCAGATGTGTTTGAGATCTCAAATGGAAGACAGCTAACCCTCATATTACCATAAGTAGAAAATTCTAGATGCTTTCACTGAAGATCTATTTTTCAATTAAGTTGGATCTGGTCCTAGCAGATCAAGGGCATTTCCCACAAAGCGAATCACCAGTTACACTTTCTCCTCATTTTACTATTGTTTTGTGCATTTTCAATTATTCTTTATCATCCCTGAAGTGTAATTACTAACAACTTTATTTTTAAATGGAATTTCTCATCCATACCAAAGGGACCTTATAAATTTGCAAGTTTTCTATAACCTACACCAACAAGGTGAAATCTTTGCCACAAAGTTTGTAGTAGCTTTACTATTACATCAAGGTCTGGACTTCACAAGTCCACTCATCTGCTATGGAAACAACCTTGTTCCCAGGATTGAACTAGTAACTACAGAAAAATGTTCATACCATTTGCCTTCTTAAATAGTTCAACTGCATCTGGGTTCAGTGCTAGCAATTTCTGTGCAACTTCTATGAGAGACACTAAGATCTTCCGGAGCTCTGTCTGGAACTGCAAGAAAGGAAACTGTCAAGACATTTAGACAGGAAGTTAACAGACATCATTAAATCTTAATATATCTATTGTTAGTATCTCAGCAGTAATCTGGCCCCCTGTACAGAGGCTTGCTTAATCAGGGCTTTATTTTAATTGTTCAGTCTCTCAAGAAGCACTGGGCCTTTCCCGTGAAGTGCTACATGTAAGTAAAAGCTACTGGGCAGAAAGGTCCTTTTATTCCTACCACAGTTTGCTGCCCAGTACCACCACAAGCTCCGGGGTGTTCAAGAAAACTCACTGCTTCATGGAAACACTTTGACTCCCACCTTGCACAGTGTTGTAAGAAGACAGTCCCAGTAGCTCCATGCCAGTGCTACTTGCTTCTGTGAACCCATAACCCTTCCTGGTTTCTACTACTATAAACTCAAACAACATAGCTTAAAGCTATTTTCTAAACTGGAGCATCACAAATTCCTTTCAGTTGGACATTTGTTTTCAAAAATGCCATGGTCAGTAGCTCATGTCGGCCATTAAACAGCTTAAATGCCAATTATCCCTTTAGGTTACTAGGGCACTCTGACAGCGTGCAGTGTGTAGGCAGATTTGCTGCTTCACATCCCTACCAGTACAGAAGAGTAAAAGCAGTCCCCACACTGCTGAAGACACAGTTAGAAGCATTACAGACTATAAGCATTCAATTACTGAAGTCAAAATTTATGCCTTATCTATCTTTTCAAACCATGGAAGAGAAAAAACCCAAAGCAAAATTCAGAAGTGTTTTATTTTTACTAAATAGTATGACCTTTGTCTAAATTTTACACTATCTGCTTTAACAGACATCATATACATCTGAATTCCTCTTGCAGATAAGAGAATTACATTCATACATAAGAGAAAAGGTTCTCCAAGATAAAAGTCTATTTGGATGTTAGCGTGTGAGTTAAAGAAGTCAAGTTGAGTACTTACATCCCTCATGTTGTGATGGGCCACAGTGCGATCCACATTGCGAGAGGGCAGGTTTGCAGTTGCTTTGAGAATAGCATCCTTATCAGGAGCTTTCTGCTCTTGTTTCCTCTGAAGGAAAGGAAACACGATCAGGTTTCGTACCCCATTATCCACAGAACAGAGAACACAGCACAGCGGAGAGCAGTTTCATATTCTTCACCAAGGCATCAAGCAGGGCTCTGTAACTTGCAACTAAGAGAAACAGTAGTCTAGCAATACAGTGGATTAATAGCACTAGTATCTTACAAAGCAAAACTGCTGGGCTGCCCCACTTTCAGTCCTTATATTTCCTATTTCTGTCATCTAAATAAACAGGGAAATTCCAGCACAGAGAGGGAAAGTGACGTATCAAACATAGAGAGAACTCAGAGGCCTCAGTTCCCAGGACCACACTCCACTCCACATGGTCTGCTCACAGCACGCTCTCTTCAAACCCATGGTTTGTTGAGAGATGTACCAATCCTGTGCACAGACTAACACTTAACTGCTCAATACTGGAAGTGCTTCGCCAATTGCAAGTATCATGCAGAGGTATGTGGTGCCTCAGATTTTCAGTACATGCTTACAGTCCAGGCCAAATCATAGCAGGGTACAAACTACAAATATTTCCCAGTCTTATAACTTATGCTCTTACAGTGACATTCTGCACAGCAAGACCATACTGAAGAGAGACATACACCAATACCTACAGGAAGGGATACAGAGACATACACCAATACCTACAGGAAGCAAGAAGAAACAAAGCTGTGCAAGGACAAAGTAGAGAGACCCAGAAATTCCCAGTGTCAAGCATAAGCATTGCTCAATGTGTTTATGCGATAACATCAACTGCAGTATGATTTGTGCATAAGCATCATCCTGGGCATCACTGAATAATAAAATAAAATAATAAAAAAATAATAGTAAGGGTGCAACACATCAGCTCTAGAGATCTGGTTAGAGAGTGACAAGCCACACACAGATAAAGACAGAAGACAGCCTGACAGCAAACCACTGTATTTCTATTGAGCTTTCAAACAGAGACAAAGCAAAGCACTTGCAGAACTATGCTTACACAGTTATTAGACATTTGTTCAAAGATCAAATCTATACCACTTCCACAGAGCACATCTGCACGTCTATTCTAAGGCAAATGTTCTCACAGAGTTAAAAATGTAAAATCAGCTTCCTCAAAGTTTGGAAGAAATATGAAATAATTTCCCTAAAATTCAACTGGCAGAATTTGCCTCTACAAACAAAGAGTATATCACAGTAACCCTCTGCAGCTCATCGATAAAGCAGTTCATCAAAACATCAAGTCAAGAAGTCTTTCAAACTCACTTTCTCCTCCGCTGACACGTCTGCCATTTTGGGGAGTGGAGGTGGTGCACGCTTCTTTATCAAAAGCAAGACATCTAGAAAGAGAATGATACTGACATTAGAAAGTAATGTGAAAACAGTTCTTGTAAGATACCTCACAAATTCAGTTTTTCCTGGAGATGACTTTTGTACTAATTTCACTGTAGCATCAGACCTTTTTCACACTTTAAAACCTCTGTTAAAACACTCCCCTGCAGTATTTGCAATTCCTTAGTGCACAGTGAATTCAAAACATGGTCCATTATTAGTTACACTTTGTTACTGGTTTCTTCTCCTCACACAACACCATTTAAGAAAGGGTATTACAGGCTCCCTTTGTCTTGTAGATTAATCATACATCAATTGGCTCATCATACTAAGAAAGCATCAGCACTTTCAGTGCTTCCACTGAGAAGGAAGCAGTAGAAACACGCCACAGATGGTTTCTGGTCTAAGCTGGGGCCTTCCTTCAACTGCAGGAAGGCAAGTGCCAAGGTTCAAGAACTTCCAGCATCAGGCTGAAGCTCACTTTTGTGTGCGAATGGTAGTAGAGCAATTCAGGGTCTACAGTGGGGATGCATCACTGGTAGCCCAGAAGGGCAAGGCACAAGCACAAACAAGTCTTCAGTCTCACATATCCCCTATGACCTGGCACGAGCTTGATTTGAGCTTTGAAGGATATACTTTGCCCGTACAAGGCACTCTTTTTCTAGAGACCACAGATGCTTCACAAGTTTCTAGCACCTCAGTTACTACCACACACATTCTAAGAGTGGAAAGATGCAGACACACCAGTGAGAACCCAGAACAGGCCTGTGCAGCAGCTGCAGTCCTTCAGCCAGGTGTGACCCGATGCACAGTTTTTAGTCCATTACATTAAGTAAAAAGTAAACAAATCATGCTTTGCTCAACAAGTTTCCTTGGTCTGGCTGAGCACACAACAGCCAAGAGCAACAGCTGGTGAAGGCTGCTAACCCTCATTTGTCCAGCTGATCAGAACGTGAAAGGATCCACATGCTGACTCTTGGCTGCCCTGTGCAGTCAGCCGGTGGCAATCAGCTGCTGGCTGCAATCTTCTCTCCCTGACAGGCAAAGCACATGAAAGGTAGAGCAGCTTGCAGAGGGAAAGGAGCAGAGAGGCATCTGCATGACAGCTCACTACGACTACCCAGTGAATGCTGCTTGGCTGCTGCAAACTGCAATTCAAAACTCTGCAGGAGCCGGCGCCTCGCCTCGAAATAATACACCCCGATCAGCAAAAACGCTGTCCCTCGCCTTTGCCTAAGATGGCACTTCTCCTTCAGCTCTAAAGGTGACAGGTGACCCTGCCTTAGAAGAGAGGCCAAACTGCTTGTGATCACAGCAGCAGCTCTCCAGCCTGCATGAACTCAGGCAAAAAGCCAGGAGCTCTATTCCTGCCGAGTTTCTGGTTCAGACAGTATTTCAGTCCACAGCAGCCCTGCTTCTCTCACTTTCTGCACCACTTTCTGCCTTTTATCTCCAGAAGAGGCCATTGGCTTAAGCTGTCAAGTAAAAACTGACTCCAGCTCTCATCTTTAGATCCTCTTTTGTTTCACGTTAATCCTTCACACCTTTAAAGTTCAAGAGCAAATACTTGCCTCACATACTCCACTGTAGTCAGTGATACTACAGCGTGATGGATCCTGACCTATGTTTGGGGAGGACAGAATGAGATCTAAACTACAGACACTCAGATACACTTCAGCAAACATCCTTCTGCTTGACCTGGAGAACTCAAGAGACCACCCCCAGAAGTATCAAGTTGTCTGTCTTTGAATACTCAGCCATGGTAATTATTTTTGAAACATTTTAAAAGAAAAATGCTGCCCTAGAAGTTTAAAAAAATTCCTTTAAAACGAGATAGAAATAATCTGTTTAACTTAATCAACACTCCTAATTTCTTTTCAGCTCTTAAAAGGAAGAGTGAAGGAAAGCAAACTGCTCAAGGTGATCTCTCTGGACAAAAAAAAAAGTATTTTTTTCCTCTTCCTTTTTTGCCACTTTATTATCTTCCCATGTCAAAGCAGCAAGTAGATATTAAAAAGGTTACTGTTTGGAACTCTCCAAATAGTTAAACAGAGTCTCGTGTTTCCAGGCTGATAGGATTAAAAACCAGACAATCTTACCTCTATCTTGAATGTTTTCCTCCAACACTGTTTTTGTGTCTGTCAGCACCTTCTCAGACGTAGCGTGTATCAACTTATGGTGTGTCACAGTTTTCGGATCCTCCAAACTCCCAGGTACACACTGCAGAAGATAATAAATATTGGAGATCAGAAGACAGCAAGAAGCTTCTGCATGAATCACTACATGATTCTCTACACACAAACTGTGCCATCATTTGCCAGCTTCTTACCAGCTTAGGTAACAGCGCAATACGTTAGAGGCCAGTGTACAGAATGTATTTTATTAGAGAAACTGAGGCTTGAATTGTGCTGTAACAATACTGACTGTGGAAGGTTTCTACCTGCATATCCAAGCTCCTGGCTGGGAAGAACAATCAACAAATGGAAGGACTCTAGCCTGCCTTCCTTAATGCTGTTAAATTAATAGTTCCCTCAGGGAGTTGGACTTGATGATCCTTATGGGTCCCTTCCAATCTGAAATATTCTATGATTTAAGTTCCAACTGATTATGATGCTCTAAAAAACTTCTTTAAACAGACAGTTTCGAAGACCTAGCATCACAGCTCAGTCCCCCCGCAATGAGCCCTTCAGGGGCACCAGCCTATGTGACTGGATTTATACTTTTGTAGTACAGTACATCTCTATCACACTTAATTCTAAGTGCTTGGTCCTGTAGTCAGGCCTACGGAGATTTGGAGCAAAGCAAGGAAGCTCTAGGATCCACAGCTATCTTAATTCTGCAACAGTAGTCAAGGTCACTCACTCTTAGTGAGAAGTCTGGGGGTAGTAATTAGTATTGTAAACCAACAATGCAAATCTACAAAGAGCATCCAGTGTTTTTACAGAAGGGAAGACTAGAATAATGCAGTATGTTTCTCATTTGTAACTAGCGTCAAAATAGAGACCAGACTCTCTGCTTCATGTAATAATTATTATTTACACACACTGTCAGGCTAAACAAGCAACTGCCAAGCAGTCATGTTGCTCTACTTGACCTTAAACTGGGAAGGGAACAGCAGTGTCTGCACCTTGTTTCAAGCTGAAACCAACAGACTTTGCTGCTGGAGCCCTGACCTGGGCTTCTGCTGAAAGCACTGAGTAAAAGTTACATTCACAACTTTTCTTCCCAATCATCAAAAATCACTAGGTTTTTTTTTCATATATGAATGTTGTGCTCAATTCCTTATTACAATTCTAATTTGTATGTTAATTAATTCACTTGGAAATCAAGTTCAAATCCTGAAAAAAGAATGTGTGCACACACAGACCTTGAACTGACTCATCTTCCCACCAGAGTGGCTCCCAGATCCGCAGGGACAGATTTCAAGAACATTACATCAGTGTGTCTAGAGGCTTCTAATTTGTTTGACTGGAAAAAGGAAGCATAGTGGTTGCAATTCCAGAAAGGCAAAATAAAAATAACCTACCAAAATAATGAAATTGATGCTGCTGTTCTGGCCACAAAATAGGACACTTAATCCTGACCTCACCTGCTCTCCTCACAGAAAACAGCTCTTAATGACACTTCTTCTTTCAATACATGTTTCTACCAAGCCCCTTTTACCATGTTTGCAGAAGAATGCATTCATCCTTTCTACAACAAAGCCATTTCCAGAAACCCCACTGAAATCAGCGCTTCACTTTGATGCAGCATTGAGTCCTGTTCATGACAATATGTACCACCAGCCTCTCTCAGAGGAATCCTTTTATTCCATCATCACCTTTTCCGTTGTGACTACATGGAAAGCTCAGCTACCTGCTCTTTTTCCAAACACAACACACTTGTTTTCAATACAGATCTTCAGTTCCTCATCTGAACTTCTGTACAGTTCTGATGCCTCAACAAGACTGAGGTGAGAATGTTTGAGTCCTGTTTTGTATAACAGTAGCTTCTTACTAATCCTTCAGCATATTAACTGCTGAACAAAAGCCAAAGAACACATTAAAGCCTGGAAGCAGCTGGGAGTACCTCCGGTAATTGATCCGATACCTTACCCCAAATGTGTAAGAGCACATCAGAGGAACACCTCCTCTCTGAACAAGCTCAAAATATCGCTGCTGCAGATCCTGAGAGTCAGACCCCAAAAGGAAGAACTTGAAAATGGGAGCTGGGAGGTGTATGTTTGGAATGGGACACAAAATGGACCTATTATCCATTTTTTTTCCCTAGCACATACAAAAGGGGCCTGTGTGTACAATCATAATACTAACAAGGTGAAAGTTTAAGTGAAAAAAACGAAAGTTGCTGCTTTAAAAGTCCTGTGGACACCTATTCTTACCTCCTGTCCCTCTAACCACTTATGTTAACAACTCCACAGAACAGCAAGGCACATATGGATAGTACATATAGCAAAGAGACAGCTCAGTGAAATATTTAGCTTATCTTAGCATTTTAACTTGCCCTGGAAACAGAAAGGCCATCTCAGCAGGCAACGCCTCTACCAGCTCTTCACCAGGAACTACCACCACTAAACATCAGACGTCACTGGGGAATCTTGCTTCACAAGAACTTTATCTGGCAAAATACAGTAATTTTGTATTAAACACAGTGCTTTAAAGTGTAACTGGAAACATCTTCCTGCCCAGAGAAAGAACAGCGCTGGCAATCCACAGGAAAAACAGTGACGGGGAGAGGAATTCCCTGTGCAGTGCCAAGGAAGGAGCCCTGTCACACAAGTGAAAGGAAGCAGAGAAATCAGGGTGCACCTTGCTGCCCCAGGGCACAGCTGGGGTGATCAAGCACTGCTCCCCCAGCATTCAGTGGTGCAGCATGCTAGGGAAGATGAGCTCTGGCATCTTTTTGTACAAAAGTATTGTAAGGAGGGGATCTGCTGTTTCATGGTTTTGCTTCCAGCATAAATATTTGCATTTCTTTTTAAGACTGGAGTTTACAGCAGGCTGCTTTGCCAGGCAGGTGAGAAACCTTTGTTCACAGGTGCCTGAGCAACTGCTGAAATGGTAAGCCCTGGTGATGCTAAATGCTATCTGCAGAGCCTGGAATCCTGATAAAACACAAGGATTTCTATTTGTTTTTAAAATTTAAGAAAGGCATTTTTTGTTTGCTTTTATTAACAGAAACATTTGAAGTGAGTACAGACACTCCCTACGACTAAGCCTGGGTGGCTTAAACCATCTGCATCCCTCACCAAGTATCCAAAACATGCCCAGAGGTACAAACCTACCTTGTCTTTGTACTCTGAGAACTAGCACCTTGCATCTCTGTTCCACTGATACTCCTTATCATACCTTAAAACCCAGGCGAGTATCACTGAAGCAGCTTAAGAAAAAAGGGAACAGAAGCATAGAAGCATTAAAACTTGTCCCACGCTGCCAGGAAAATTACCGGTAGAGCTTAGGTAGACATACAGCCCACATTTGTGCATCCCGAGTGAATGACATCAGAATTTCTACATCAGTATTTCAGAAATACTGCTGAGCCTCAGCAATGGCCTCTTGCAACTTGAGTATCAGAACCAGGACTGTTGACAGCACCGCTGGTCAGAGTGGCGCTGGCCTTGGACTGTCAATGCCGGGCACAGGGAGTATGGATCATAAATTAAGCTCAGATTTTTCCTGTGGTTAAACTGACCCACCTCAATTCTGGTTCTGAAATGAACAGTTGCTTTTTAAGGAAGCCACAGGAGAGCTCAGGGCCTGCTCCCACCAGCTGCACTCCTGCTGAGGTGGTGGGGCCTCGCAGAGGGACAACTGAGTATTCCAAGAGAACACTTTGATGGCAAAACTTGAGTTCAAAAGTAACTAGGAAGGAAAACAACTTAGGATTTATTCACAGATTACACAGAAAGCATTACTGAAGGCAGCAGTTTAACAACATGTAATCACTGCTTAATTGTTACAGGTCAAGGGATAAAAGTAGTGGGAGGGTATTTTTGTGCTTTTTTGGTGTCTGCTTTTTATTTGTAACAAAAACCACCCACAAAAAAAAAAAAAGCCATCAAGAGTGACACTTCAGAGACCAGCAAGCATCTGAATGTTCTCGAGTGAAAAGTGGCCACCTTCCTAGTTCAGAACTGTTACAAATATCTTCCTCTGCTTCCTGAAAGAATGATTTCAAAGACTACAGGGAACACCATAATCAGCATTTCACAAGAGATGGCTGCACAAATTATCTCAAGGTGCTATCGAGATTCATTGCAATGTAGCCATGATCAGGAGTCATGATTTTTCCATTTCTATTTTGCCCCCCTCCATAAAACTATATATCATCCATAATGAATATGCAAATCCACACCATTAGCACAAAGCAGCAGAGAGAATGAAATCAAACAGCACGCCAAGTTATCAGTTGTCTTCTGCCCCAACTCGCACTGCAATGTGAGCATCTATTCAATTAAGCTTCTTGATAATTAAAGGCCTTTCAGCTCTGGACACATGCACATAATCATTACCCCACCCTGTTTTGGCAGAGTTCGCACCACTCTCCTGCTTAATCACCCAGCTGTGCTGAAGTGGGAGAAGAAAGGAGCACCAGATTCCTTCCAGGAATGTAACAGTGTGGGGGGCCCTGCACCCCACTGCTTTCAGCAAGGCACCCCCATTTTCCCCCTCCAAGAAGGATCACACCTACCTCAGGTGAAGCAAACCCAAACATAGCCCTTCTCATCCCTAAATCAAAAAGCACTTACAAAGACTACGGGACAAGACAAGCAGTGTGTGCTGTGATCTGTTGTTTCCAGGGGTTCTAGCTGAAAGCAAACAACCAGCAGGCATGAGGCAGAGCCTGGGCTGCTGCCACCCTTACTTCACAGCGTACTCATTGAGGAAATAAAAACCTTTGGCCTTTCAAATGGGGGTTAAATAATTATGTACTACAGGTATGTTCTCCTTTGCCAACTGTGTTTCATGAAAAAAAGTCTTTGCAAGACCTTGAAGAAAAAAAACCACATTAAATGTGGTTTAGTAAACTGCACTCCCAGAAATAGGAGTAGAAGCTCTTGGTTTTGCCACTCAAAAGAAGTTACACATCTCTCGGCAAGAAATTCAGCAGGTTACATCTCAAGCTGCCAGTCCACGCTGTGCTTTAGGACAGACTTTAGGACAGCTCTGCTCATGGGTCACAACCTTACACACTGTTGTTGTCAATCATGTTTTTGCTTTAAA